TAATACTGGCTGTTTTTTTTCTGCTTTTCGCGGTCACTGGTATCGCACAGCCGGTTTTCAAACCCGATACCGCCAATAAGATCAATATACAGATCCTTCCTCCCACCCAGCTGATCCTGGGCTCCCGCGACAGTATGGCTGAGATCACCCGGCTCGTGGGTACCGTACACCTGCGGCAGGACGATAATGATATGACCTGCGATAGTGCCTGGTTTAATATCGGGGCCAATAATGTAGAAGCATTTGGGAATGTACGCATTGTACAACCCGGCGGCACCCAACTTCAAAGTGATTACCTGCGTTATATCGGCGATAAAAAACAAGCCTACCTGCGCGGCAATGTAAAACTTGAAGATGGTCAGAACAGCCTTTATAGTGAAGACCTCACCTATAACCTGGGTACCAAAGTAGCGGTTTATGAGCACGGCGGTACCCTGCAAAGCGATGCCACCACGGTATCCAGCAACAAGGGCAATTATAATGTAAAAACCAAGGATGCACGTTTCACAGAAGAAGTGATCATTACAGACCCGGAATACAATACGACCTCAGAAGATCTTGGTTATAATACAGGCACCAAAGTGGTTACCTTTTTTGGCCCTTCGCCTTCTACTGTGATCAACGACAAAAGTGTACTGGTCACCAAAGGCGGGACGTATGATACTAAAAATGAAGTGGCCCGTTTTACAAAACGCACTTCCCTCACCAGTAAAGAACAATTTATTGAGGGCGACCGGATAGATTATAACCGGCATACCGGCTATGGCAATGCAACCGGCAATGTAATCGCTATCGACACCCTACAGCACACGGTACAATGGAGTGGATTTGCTTCCTATAACGAACGGACCCGTGTATTGCTGTCTACCCTTAACCCGGTATTATTACAACGGAACGGGAAGGACAGCCTCTACATTGGTGCAGATACGTTTTACTCAAAGCCCGATATGCGTGGCCGGATCGTTCCAGGTATAAAGAATAGTAAAACAGGAAAAGATACCACAGGTACCGTAGAAACGCCCCCAAAAAGGAAACGAGCCAAAGACGTAAAACCTAATCTTCCCCAGGCAGATACCGCCACCAGCCGGTCCGGGTTTTCGCTGTTCGGGAGAGAGAATAATAAAACAATTACCCGTAAACCAGAAGCAGAAGAGCCGATGGCCGACTCAACAGCTCCCCGTTATTATATCGGCTATCATCATGTGCGCATCTGGTCGGATTCTCTACAGGGACGTTGCGACAGTATCTCTTATTCGGAAAAAGACTCGGTGATGAAAATGATCGGCGACCCGGTTGTATGGAGCCGTCGCAGCCAGATAACCGGGGATACCATCTTATTATTTATGGGCGACAGCAATAAGATAAACCGGCTGTATGTACCCAATAATGCAATTATCGTATCCTTAGCCGGGCCCGATTCTGCCGACTTATATGACCAGGTACAGGGCAAATCACTGACAGGTTATTTCGAGAACAATACCATTACGGAGATGCTGGTCAAAACGGATGCACATAGCATTTACTATGCCAAGGACGATAGCGGGTTCTATATTGGCGTTAACCAGTCTGAAAGTGAACGGATGCGGATTTTTTTCAAAGATGAAAAGATTCAACGGATCCTGTTTATACAAGAAGTGACCCAGATAATGACCCCACTGGACCAGGCAAACCTTTCTGATATGAAGCTCAGCCGCTTTAAATGGCTGGAAGATAAACGGCCCAAGAGCAGGAGTGAGCTTTTTATGGCTCCCAAACCTGCCCCCGCTGTGGAAGTAAAGCCGGAACGCAGGAAAGGAAATAGTATTTTAGCACGGCCTTAGGTGCTGATCAATACCCTACATAGGCTATTAACGGTTAATCATTAAACGAATGCAGGTTTATAAATTCGGTGGTGCATCTATCGCCACCCCTGAACGGATGCGGGCACTGATGCCCATCATACAGGAAGCAGCACATCCTATTGTAGTGGTGGTCTCCGCCATGGGCAAAACAACCAATGCCCTTGAGCTGATCACAGAGACGGCCTGCAAAGGCAGTAAGGAAGCGGCACATGCCCTGGTAAATGCATTGGAAGAGCAGCATGTGACTTATATGCGGGAACTGCTGACTCCCGAATTTTTCAATCGTGCCTACGAGTCCCTGAATGTTTACTTCACTGAATTACAATGGGCGGTAGACGATGCGACCGCCCTTAAATATGATTACTCCTACGACCAGATCGTATGTATCGGCGAGCTGCTCTCTACCCTTATTTTCTCTTTTTATCTTCAACAGGAAGGCGTGAAAAGTGAATGGATAGATATCCGTGATGTGATACGTACCGATGACACCTACCGGGATGCCCGTGTAGACTGGGAGATATCTGCCCGGCAGGCAACACAGGTGATGAAACCGGTACTGGACAAAGGCTGTACGATTGTGACGCAAGGCTTTATCGGCACTACTGCCGACAATGCTTCTGTAACCCTGGGACGCGAGGGCAGCGACTATACCGCGGCAATGCTGGCGGCCTGGCTGGATGCAACCGGCGTTACTATCTGGAAGGATGTGGCGGGCTTACTGAATGCGGATCCGAAGCTATTTCCCAATACCGTGAAGATTGAAGCCATCACCTATCATGAGGTTATAGAAATGGCCTACTATGGTGCCCAGGTCATTCACCCGAAAACCATAAAACCTTTGCAGAATGCAGGCA